TGGAGTGACCTTGGCCCAGACGTCGAGAGCGTCCTTGATGGCCTGGTCCACCTCAGACACGGACAAATCGGGTGTGTAATTCTTGATTCTGGAAGATGGGAAGCAAAGACAGGTGTGAGCAACTTAAATCATGCCTGGGCAGCCTCAAAGCCCCTCCTTGTCACTTGTGGAACAGATTGCAGAGGAGGTGGGTCCAACCAACTAGGAGGTTGGGCCAAGACATCTGATTGGCTGGTCCTGCCTCCTCCAGTTGCTTAGACATACCTCCTATACAATCTGATTGGTTATCTCTCTGAACCAATCATTTTTCATTCTGCCCCCAGAACATTTTTTGCGTAATTGAATCTCCCATGAGCCCCCTCCTTGCACACTGACACTTGGGTCTCACTCACCTGTAGGTCACATTGTTGTTGGGCCACTTTGGATTCCCTGGAAAGGTGGAGTACTCGGCCATATCCGGGACCCCACAGCGCGGTTTCTTCATCACCTCCAGCGTTTTGTCGTCCAACACTCCTGTCACCTTGAGCCTGAAGAACTGCTGCATCTCCTTCAGCTTCAGGGTGAATGGATTGAAGCGCCAAATTCTATCATCTGGATTGTCCTTTAGCTCGTAGAACATCTTCAGGTAGGTCTGTAAAAGAGCATTAGCAAATGCAGGATAATGAGACCATGCAAGGTTAAGCCGGACTGTAGTTAGCATCCTAGGACTCAGTAGATAATAGCTGGATATTGGAATTATGGTCACATTTGTGGGGAGGGTTAATTGAGGACGTCTCAAATTTAGGCCGTTCAGTACATAACCAGTCAAAACTTTTCGCACACACTGAGATTTTCTACACATGCATGTTACTTCTCAAAGAATTTCCCCATTGTGGGATTAATAAAGTCTTTATCTATCTATCTATCCATCTATCCATCTATCCATCCATCCATCCATCCATCCATCCATCCATCCATCCATACTAAAAATACACTCAATATTATTTGCTAACAAATGTTCACCAATTCAGTACCTTTATTACCAAAAAAATGTCATATCTTTGATCCGTCAAAGTAACCTCCTCTATCAGTTATAACAGCAGAGAAAATTCGAGGGATTCTTTCTACAGGGGACATTAAATACTGCTCTGTTTCATGGGATGAAACGGTTAACTAATGCATTTATAGTTAAAGAACAGCCCATCACCACAGAACCAGTTAATAGGATGTCAGACATGCACTGTTACATACTCTTTCCATGTTATAATGGAAGCTCGTTTTATTTGACATATTGTTTCATTCATAGCTGTTCACTCAACTTTCCAATGCTTAACAAAAGTAAAAAATCTGCAGTTTATGAAATAAATGGAAAAGTGGTAAAAAAACACACACCTGTGGTGTCTATAAACTTTTGCCCAGTAACATAACTAGGGAGTCTTACCGTGGCGACGTCCTCGTCCGGGTCCCCGACGTCGTTTCGTGATAGCGGGATGCAGTGAACCGCCAGGGCCAGGCAGAAGAAGATGGTCGCTCCGTAAGGCATCATATTCAGCTTGAGGCTGCTGCTTCTTGGTGCTGTGTCTGTGAGACCCTCCACTCTTATACTCTATGAGCCTCAAGTTGTTGAGCAACTTTTGCCTGAGTCACTGGGATTCTGCTCACTCATCAGTGAGAGGCGGGCACTTCTCCATAATACTGTATTACATAAATGACCTGGCCTTTCAAGTGTGAATCATGCTATCAGATTATTGTGTGTCCGTTTTGATTAGTGCGCATCACTGGCCAGTTACCTACCTCTTGCCTAGCTACTCTTGTTTGTAATACTCTCAATATTTGCGTTATCGTTACATTGCAGTAGCTACTCACATTGTGCTGTGTTTATTCATTGTTATTGTACTTCTATTTATTGTCGTGTTGAAACGGCTTAATTTGTGTTTATATTGTGTTCAATTGGTGGCCAAAAGGATATACAGAGTAATATTTTCATTGTTTAGTGTGACTGTTTATTGTGCATATCGCAATAAACTCTGGAACCTTGAAGCGGGTATTGGTTACAGCAACTGGGAAATTCTGAAATGCGGAAGTAGGACTTTAAGAAGAATTTATGAAGGTTTTTTATTATTGATGTACATGTAAATCTTAGGAGACTGAAGCAAGTCTTAAAACACATTATTGTTAAATTAATTAGTCAATGAAATAAAGAAAAGCCAAGTTTTAAATGTTTAAATTTGTCCAGCCTCATGCTGGAGATATGATATGGAAGATGTCCCCTCGCTGGCCAGTGCGGTAGGTACACCTTCTTTATGCTACAGCAAAATGTGCGGCTGCAATTGAACACAGACAGGGTCAAAAGGCTTGGTAACTGTGCAGATCATCATAAGAATGTGTGGTCTAATATATGGTGTACAGAGTTGGGTAATTCAAGTCCAGAGAGTAAAAGTCCAGACCAAGATTTTGTTTCAATCAACCAGTTGAGCATAAAGGGTCACAGTCACAGAGCATTCATCTAGTTGGTTGAAACAAAATCCCGGTCTGGACTTTTACTCTCCGGACCTGAATTGCCCAAAATGAGAGTATAACTTATTTTTCCTGTCTGTCGTTTTTTTCTGTAGCAAAAAGACACACAGAATCTCATATCAGCCTCCCTATCAGTTTCAAAAGAGATCTCATCTAGCTCCAAAATAGTACTCAGATTGTCTCTACACCCCAATAGTGTCAATTTGATTCTTTGGTGAAGAAATGAGAGCGGTTGTTATGAATTCAAACTATTGTCATCTCAGCCAAGTTAAAATACCTGTCTGAAATTGGTGCCCATAATACAATGACTTCTGTATGTGTTATTGCAGGTCTGTGCTGCAAAAATAAACATTTGTACTTTTACTGCTTTAAAAATATCAATTACTGATTCTGTTCCTTCAAGTACTATACTATACTATACTATACTATACTATACTGCTGCAACCACATTCAGTAGTAAAGTCTATCTTTTTCTAGTTTGTCCATTTTTGCTTCGTCCTCAAATTCAAGGCCATGTTTGCCCATAGTTGCTGAAGTGTCTGGACCACATGTATCATGCTGTATCATGGACAAGGATGCAAGTCCTGCAAGGTGGCACCCAGGTCAGCACTGTTGCCTCGTACAGCCAGACACCCGGGTTTGAGTCTCTGCCCTGGCTCTATGTACATGAATATTGTGGCTCCTGTATTGCTCATTAATGACACCAAGTCAAGTTTGGTAGGATTTCTTGTTTGTCTCAAATATTACTCATGTTCCCTAGGTCACCTACATCTACTTTATTTCCCCTCGTGAATTTTAGGAGAATCACATCAGACTAAACAGAAACTTAAATGGGAATCTCAATTTTGTCTCTCCAAGCAAGATAAGAACGCACTATAGCTAAAGTTTTCCTCTGGGAAAGTTGATTCCAGTATCTCAGAAAAGGTTTCCCTCTTGGGGTGTTTACGCGCTACAGCAGGGGTGTCAAACTGCAGTCCTGGGGGGCCGGAGCCCTGTGTAGCTTTAGTTCTTTCTCTGTTCCACCACAAATGATTCAGCTCAAGAGCTGCGTGGTAATTAGCACAAGGAGTTGAATCAATGTGTTAAATGAGGGGAAACCCAAAAATGTGCAGGGCTCCAGGCCCCCCCAGGACTGCAGTTTGACACCACTGCTCTTCAGTGTCTAGAATTAACAGAGCTTGGTGTGATAAACTTACGCAGTGACAGAAGATATCCAGTCACTGAATACCAACTGTGTTTGTTTAGGAGAGCATTCTGCGTAACAACCACTTAGCCAGATGTCTTATATTCTAGGAAACGTACAGAGCTTGTTTTGCATGACTGCTGCCATACCGTGCTGAAATCGTTTGGTGCAGGACGCCTACAGATGTGCTGACACACGTGCTGATGACTGTGTGTGTGTGTGGGTGAGTGTGTATGTTACGAGCCCATGACAGCAGCCCACTTTGTTTTAGTGGTCATTTTGGTCATTTCCCACGTTTGCTTAATACCGTATTGGATTTTTATTTAGTATTGGGAAGGAAATGTCTAAAACCTTAGGGAGCCAACACCTTGTTAATGTGGTCCTTTTTGTTGAAAGGGCTGTCGTATAGACCAGCAGGTCTGGAACATCCTGCTGTAGATAGATTTCTAGTTCCTAAGACGGCAGTACAGAGGAATAAGGTGAAGCAGGAGACACTGGGAGCGACCAGAAACCAGCCAGGAGGAAGGCAGAAGCGACTTTCTAAAGCCAGAGATGACCGTTAACTTATCTGACAGTTTCCAGTTTCTCATCAATCGTAGGATGACATCAAGTGACCTTCTAAAAGAAGCATAGAAGAACCACGCTGCAGTTTGCAAAGAAATTATACATATATGATATACAGTATGTATATGTGTGTGTATATGTGTATATATATATATATATATATACACTCACCTAAAGGATTATTAGGAACACCATACTAATACAATGTTTGACCCCCTTTCGCCTTCAGAACTGCCTTAATTCTAC